TGGAAGTGATTAGACATCATCACAAGAGAATTTGATTCATTTATTAATCAATATTTATTGTCTATAAGGTATTATGCTGGGTATATTTGAGGTATAAGATATATATCTGTATGTGTCTTTTATAGACATATAATTATATATAAAGCTTATTTCTGCTCTCACAGAGTTTACACCCTAACAGGAAGGTATAAAGACACACACAGAATGACACGACAGCCCGTCCTGCTAAGTGCCTGAAGGGGAACTTGGGCCATGGTACCTGTGCAGTTGGAGAGACTTCGTTCACCTCTCATATGAAAGATATTTGCTTCCATAATAAAATCAAGCTGTTATTCATAACTCTGACTTACTTTTTCCAAACACATAGATTCTTATGAGTGGAATTTTAGAGAACAATGTTATGAAACAAAAGCAACCTGAGGCCATCCTCCTCTTAATCACGTAGGCCATCTAGGGGAGCGATTCCCAACTTGTGAATCAGGGCTTGTTAAAGCGCAGATTGTGGGTTCCATCCCCAGAGGTTCTGATTCAGCTCTGGGTTGGGCCAGAGAATCTGCATGCTGCAGGCATGGGAATCACACTTCCAGAACCAGTGCTCCAAAGTTACCTTTGAATTTTCTCTAGTATGTGCCTTCCACGTCCACGCTGACACCAAGGCCTACACCCTCTCATCCTGTCTTTCCCTTTCATTCCCACTCCTTGGACTCTTTCAAAGTTTTTTATTGTATTTTCCCATGACTATTTATCCCCCTTATACACCCTCCTCCCAGCAATCACCACACTGTTGTCCATGTCCATGAGTCCTTTTCCTTTTTGCTCCATCCCTCCACCCCATCACCAATGCCCCTCCAGCCATCAGCCTGCTCTCCATCTATGAGTCTGTCTGTATTTGCTTGTTAGTTCAGCTTGTTCATTAGATTCACACTGACTTTTGTTTTTTTCTCTTGGGAGAAAGCATAGAGAAATCCTCCTTTGTTCCATGACAGGATTATTTGTGTTATCTTATTTTTTCTCTGATTCTCATGTTTTCAAATATTTCCTAATTCTTGGTTTACTTCCTCAGAAATTTTATAAAGCTGCAGTAAAGTGAACTCGAGAAACTCCTAGAAGAGGTGGAGTCCTACTGTGGTTAGTTGGTAGAAGAAAGCAATCCGGTGAGAGATTTTCTTTTTCTCTTAAAAAAAAAATCCATAACATATCAAAAAAATATGTTCATTTTATGACAGAAGTGCAAGGGAAACCCAAGGAGTATCACATTACTTCGGCATTTGAATTCCACAGAGGAAGGAAACACGATGAGAGCTTATTATTCAGAGATTGGATACAGAGCAAAGAAACTCAATGTCTCCTGGGAGGAGGGGGCTAACGTAGTAACGATGATAATTTTTTTAAACTGTAAGTAGTACTTCACCTTTTATGAAAAGCTCTCACATGCATCATACCTTTACAGCTACTAGAAAGGCAGGCAAATTATTATTTCCATTTTAAACTCAAAGAAACGGAGGGTTATAAAGTTAAGTGACTTGTATAAGGCCACAATTAGAGGAACCAAACTCTACCCAAATAATCTAATTCTAATACAATCACGTCTCACTTATGTCCCCAGTCTCAGTTTTAGTATTGTAAGTGTTCTGGAATATGCTTTCCAACCAGGGCTTCCTTGGTTCTCTAAGGTAGAGCTTTGCTCTCAAGTCAATACGATAGACTACTGATTTGTCTCAAACACTTCCTTTTCAAAGACTATGTCAACCATTAAAGTACCCCTCCACAAAATTTTACTTGGAATTCAATTTCAAAATTGATTTTTCTGCAGTTGTTGAATGCAAGTGTCCTTTACATTAAAACCTGGAGCTACTGAAATGCAAAGCTAGTTCCTATAGAGAGTAGCTGTGATACCAAGGACCCAGATCTCCATCCTTTGAGCTCTGTTAATACTCCTTATTGGGAGGTTTCTATTTTGCTTAGACTACAGTTAAGAATTCTGAATCCATCCTTACTCTTCCAAGTAGACCCAGTACTTTCTAGAGTCTTTTTAGACCAACATTTGGACTTCTGCTCTAAATTTTTGTCATTTCTACTGGGATCCTGTAAGATTGAGAGGCTCCACTTTTTTGATGTTTTCCCAAGAAGTAGGAGAAAACTTTCTTTAGAAATGTGGGCCACAGTGAATCCAGGTCCTGCATTACTTCCTGGTGATCAAGCTGTCTTGCTTTGAAAATCTAGGCTAGTTATTCTTAAACTTTGTAAGGTTATGGACTCCTTCAGTCAGATAAAGTCTTGATAGACAGATGGCCCTTCTAACCTGACATTGCCAAATAATTCTGCGGTGAAAGAGAAGAGTTGTTCTTTTGAATGGGGTGCTAAGACTGATATATGTACATTATTAATTGTTCTCAGATGTGTCCATATTATACACACTAACACAGACACCTTGGTAATTTACTGAGACCCTCATAATTTACTACATATTTGAAGGCTACACTTTAAGCATTACTTAAATTTATAAAATGATTCTACTTGTAGCTTTTGTATCTATGATGCATAAATATACAAACCCATTGTTGGTTTTCTTATGGGCAGATCTAGTTATTTAGGTTAACCACAGAATCCTCTGGTGAATCCACTGGACAAATGTATTCATGCACTAAAAAGACAAATTTTAGTGGTATGCTGAAAATATTATGTTGCAAATTTAAAGTGTCATTGCAATATGTGATCTACAAGAATGTGTGGATTTTATTCTGCTAGGTCTACTGGAAGAGATACACAGAAGAGCATAGAAATGTTTATTCAAGACCAACAAAGTCAACTTTGCCTAAGAGGACACTTCCACAAATGGTTTCTTTTTCCCCTTATCCTTAATTTGATGGTTTCTAGACAGCTATTTAGAGGAGGAAAGAACATAAACTACCTAAAGCACTCTGTAAATCATAAATAAAAGTATTACTATTTGATTAATACCAAATAACTATGATACCCACACCACATGGAAAATTTCCTCGATTGACTGCGGGTTACTGGGTACATTCACATTAACCCCAAGTAAACAGTGGTTCACCACGATCTGATTTTCTTCCTAAATTCTGCAGTGCCTCTGCATGATTTTGGAGGTATGAAAACTGTCCTCTTTCAAAACAACTCATTTGCATAAACATAAGTACATGGAGTTACATGATGTCCTGCCTTAAGCTGAACTGCAAAGAAGGAAAAGTTTGCCTTCAGTAACATCCTAGTGTGGTTGTTCATGCCCATGTTGTGCACCTCCTCTCAGTGTCTGCTGCTCTCCTTCCCTTCTACCCCCCAGTTCACAATTATGTGCTTTGTGTCCTATGCCTGGCTATTTCTGCTAGCTGATCTGAGAAACAAGGTTGCTTTGGGGAGCTAATTTGCTTCTGTGTATTGTGATTCAATATGTAACTTTCTCCTTGCAACTTATTTGTCCTTCAGCAAGGATATGACGGAACCAGAGGTTTACCAGAGGAGTGACTCTCAAAACAGAAATTTCAAATATGGTGACCATTGTTGGAATAGGAATTTTCAGGTACAAGAGAGTCTTTGTGAAATCGTATCGCATGTGTGGCCCCTCACATGGCAGAGCATCCATGTAGTTCTAGCTTCTATGTCTGTCCCATTACGGAGCGAGGAAAGAGCACTGGCTGGGAGGTCAGATCTTAGAACCACAGAATCCAGGGATGAAGCACTGTCTGGCCCAACTGCTCACCTGCAGATTGAATCCCTCCTACAACATCCTTAGGAAATGACCATTGTCTCCTTGAACACCTCTAATTCTAGGAACTCGTTCCCTTTGGAGGCTGTCTGTCCCATCTGAGAGTGGCTCTGATTGTCCACAATCATTTCATTTGGTTGAAAGAATCTCCTTATTGTGTCCAGTCACTGGTCCAGTTCTACCTTTTGGACCCAAACAAAACAAGCTTACTCCCTTCTTTCCTCTTAACCATTTAAATAATGTTAAAAGTGCTAATAATAGCTATCAATTATAGAGTGCTTATGTGCTCTCTAGGAATTGTTTAAAGAACCTCATGTCTATGAATTTATTTAATCCTTGAAACAGCACTGTAGGAAAGATCTATCACTATTATCCCCCTTATGTTGACAAGGAAACGGAAGTATAGAAAGGTTCAGTAATTTTTCCCAGGATGATAAAGATCAGTAGTCGCTAAATCTAAGTCCAAACCCAAGCAATCTGGCTCCAGAGCTCCAGCGTGACAAGGACATCATGCTGTCCCTGCAGCTAGAATACCCGAGGATGGCTCGTGTGACGCCCTGAGTCTTCTTCCCTGCAATCTGAACACCCCAGGACCTTCCACCATGATTCAAGTGCCCTGGCTTTGCATCCCTTCCTCGCCCTACTCACACTCCCCTCACTGTGTCCGGATTAGTCTGCGGTCCTTTAAAAGGTTGTACCCAGAACCGACTGTAGTTTCTAGATACTGAAAATGGAGAGTGGAAAATAGTGAGTCTATCACTCCTCCTCATTTCAGGGACCACACATGCAGCTTAAGCTTGCACCAGCCTTGCTGTGGCCTCTTCAAGCTGCTGGTTCACACAGAGCTCACTACAGACTAAAATGCTTGTCCTTGCTCTGCCTAGTGACTTTAGTGTGCACATTGAGGTGACTGGAGAGTATGGTCTGCAAGGACTTTTCCAGTTTTGCACACCTTGGATCAAAGAATGTGTTACAGACTTCAGCGTATTTAAGGGATGTTGTGCCTGCAAATTCTTTATCAGGGTTTTCCCCACTTGGCCCTTCTCCATAAAGGGTTTCTGTGATTTTTGTCTTTGGTCCAGGTGCTCTACTCCTAGGGTGGGGGCACAGCTGGGGCTTCTAAAAGATGGCTTGCAGTGGGGTTTCCTTAGTATCTAAAAAATGACTCCCAAACTTCCCTTCTACCTGCTGCCCTGCCTGTCCCTTCCCAAGTCCCTCCGCACATCCCCCCGGCTGCCAGCCGCCCCCCCCACCCCCGGGGGCCTGCACTCACCTGTGTGTACAAACATGTGCTTGACGTAGTTCTGTTTGGCGGTGAAAGTCTTGTTGCAGAGAGTGCACTCATAAGGCTTTTTTTCGCCCTGCCCACTGGCTGTGCTGTGGCCTGCAGATGGGGCCAGGGGCTGTGGCGCTGGCAGCTGTGCAGTAAAGGTCGACAGGCCGGGCTGGGACACTGTCACAAACTGGGTCTGCTGACCTGCCAGGGGTTGTGGCAGGCTGAAGAGGAAAGGCTTGGGGCCGCTGCCCGCGGGCTGGGTAGTGAAGAGGGCCGGCAGGTAGGTGTTGCCGGCTGTGCCAATGACCTGTGTGTTGCTGGTCAAGGTCAGAGGCATCCTCAAGTTGCTGGTGAGGGTTTCTGTCTGGCGTAAGTAGAGCTGGGTACTTGGCAATGGCTGCCCGATGGACGTGTTGACTGAAGGCTGCTGCAGGATGCTTTTGTCAGAGCTGTTGCTGACAGTGATGACTGTATTGTCCATCTCCACCTCGTTGCTTCTTTCTGGAGAGGAGGCACCTGTCTCTGGCTGGTGGGGCTGCGGGCCGCCCTCCGCAGGGGCTTCTGCAGCCTGCTCAGGCTGGGCGGGTTCAGCCTGGCCGTCCCGAGCTGCCCCAGGCCCGAACTGCTGCTCCACGGAGTCAGGCTCGGTGCCTATGGAGGAGCTGACACCCGAGTCGAAACTTTCGCCCTTGGGCTCACTCTCGGTGCCCTCGGCCTGGTCGGTGTCTTCCGTGCACTCTTCGGATTCATTGCGCTCCAAGATCTGCACCCTTTGCTGCCCATAGTAGTCGTAATCGTCCTCCATCTCCTGCTTGATGTGGATATTACCCACCAGGGTCTGGATGCGCACAGGCCTGGGCTGCTTGCGGCAGTGCGTGGTCTCGGGGGTGGTGGAGAGGTAGCGCTCCATCTGCTGTGAGCGCTCGTGGATGCGAGTGATCCAGCTGGGGTCTTCCATGTGGTGGTCTCGGGGAAGGCCGAGCGCAGTCTCGTGGTGGCTAACCACCGCACCGCTGTAGAAGGAGCGCTCGCCACTGCCATTCTGCATGGAGCATGCGTACAGCGCGGAGTAGATCCTGTCCACGCTGTGCTGCGGATGGCTCTGCAGGTACCCTGACTCGGTGTCGCTGCTCTGGCCCGAGGTGCCTGACTCGGGAGTGCCCCGCGGCGTGTCCTGGCCCGAGTCCTGGATCCCCGGGAACACATCGCCCACATTCTGGGACACTATGCGCGTGCACTCATCGATGACTGTTTTGATCTGCAGGATGCTGGCGGCCGTGAGTATCTGTAGCGCTTCCGACTGCGAGACGCGCAGCACGCCGCTGTACATGAAGTCAATGAGCTTTTGCACCGACTGCACTGACACCACGGATGGGATCTCGATGTCGCTGTAGCCCAGCAGCAGCTTGTCCTGGAAGAAGGGGCTGCCGGCAGCCAGCACGCAGCGGTGTGCGCGCAGCATGCTCCCGTGGATGCGCACCGTCACGTCACAGAAGTGGCCACGGTTGCGCTGCTCGTTGAGGGTCTCGAGCACGGAATTGCTGAAGTTGTGAAGGTTGATGCTGTGAATGCGCTCGGTCATCCCCTTGCAACTGATGTCACCTGCATGCCAAGGCAGACACAAACAGAGTGTGGGTCAGAGCTAGCTGGCTGCACCCCTAACACCTGGGCCTCAGGTGAACAACCCTCATGGCTCCTAGAAGCACCACCCCACCCTTGAAGGGACAGGAGAGCTCGGTGGGAGACGGGCAGGTTTGCACAGAGGTCAAGCTGCAGTATGATATCTTATGGAGACAGGACCTTGAATTGTGTCCCAACAGTATCCCAGCTATTGGGGCATTGAATCCTCGTCAGTCCCCTAGAGACTCAGCCAGGGTTGTCAGTTGGAATAGCCTAATAAACAGATGGACCATTTGCCTGCCACTCCTACAACTCTGGCAAATGAGAACTGAAAGGCAAATGGAGGCTTGTTCTCCTCTTGTTCTAACTCTGCGTTGGACAGGCCTAAGCCCAAGTCTTTTGGGAAAGCTTATACTTCCCCTAGCTTATCAAAGTTCCTTATTTTATACATGGACTGCAACAATATTCATAGTAAAAAATAAATCCCCTTCCTATTAATTTATGGGGCGTATTCCCCAAATCCACACTGTGCATACAAAAATTCTTGGAAAACCGAACCCAGACTAAGATGCTCACCAAACAGTGGCACCTTGTTTTCTGGTCAAGGGAGAGGTTATGGAGTGCAGTCTGCAGCGAAAGGGGTGTTTGCCTGCTACTTCCTGTATCTACAGGACATTCTACTGATGATGTTCTTCTTGTCATCCCTGATAATCAGGGAACTTTCTAGGGTGGCTGTATGCAATGTGGTGATTTTCTGAATTTTCTGGGGCTTAATGAAAGCAGCACTGATCTGGGAACCTGGAGGACACGAGATGGTCACATTCACCAAACTGGGCACCTCGGCCCAGGAGCACTGTTAACAATTAGGTCAAGATAGCAGGAGTGAACCAGGAGCGGGATGTGCGAACACACCGAGTGTAATCGGTGCTCTACGCACTTGCTGGAGGGAATTATCAAATAGCTCCCAGGAGGAAGGCGATGGTCAGCGACTGGAGGCTGTGGACAGCCTGAGCCACTGCCATCACTATGCTCCAGACTGGGAAGACCAGGGACAATGTCAGTAACATCGAGGTCGCAGACTGAGAAAGAACACCGGAGCTGTAACAATCAGTCTTGCGGCTTTTTTCTTTTTCTACCTCACCTTTCAAATGACTCTAAAGAATCCCAGTCTCCGAACGAGTCTTCAGTCAGATTCCCTGTTTTTGTCTTCACAGCTGAACCATCAGCTTGAGAGAGTGGGCTTTCAAAACCAGGTGGCCAAAGTACCACCGATTGTTGGCCTGGGACCCAGCTCCCTGTGTCTTGTTGGAAGTAGCCCCAGAGGTAATGGCCTGCAGACAGCTCCTCAGGTTCCTTCTCCTCGGCCTTAGGAGAGAGGACCTGCTCAGGGAAGTCTGAGCTCAGCTAGAATTCCTGCCTTGCTTCACGCAATCTCCTCATGCTGCCCTAGCTTCGTCAGTGTGACCACATCCTTTTATATAGTCATTCATTTCTCTCTTCCCAGTTCACTTAGTCAGCCTCACATATATCCACTTAGGAAATGCCTGCAGGCTGTCGGTTCACTTTCAGTAATATGATTTGCATAAATGTTTACGTAAGAGAATTCCTTCCTTTTTCAACTTCCATTGGGTCTGTTTCTTGCCTAAAATAGTTCATTAGGCTATTGTGTTTACTTTTTTTCAATCATGTAAAACAAATTGTCTTTGCTAGATTAAAGAATCATGGTGAATCCTCTATAACTGTGTTAATACAAAATATGGCCCCAGAAGAAGGCCCTAATAACCCAGGAAGGAATATTCGGGAATGAAGTCAGCGGACCAAGTCCCAAGTTCTTTCTGAGTCCAGCATGCCTTTGTGCCATGATAACGATAACAAGAGAAAACTAATTTTTTTTTTTAGCTTACCATGTGTCAGATCCTAACCACTGATAGAACTGGTCTGTCTACTTTATTATATTATTTCATTTAATTCTCAGAACAACCCTGTGATGTAGCTAGAATTATTATCCTCATTTTTCAGATGAGGAAACTGAGGTGAGAGAAATTAAGAAATTTGCTCAAGGCCACCGAGGCAGTTGGTAGCTGAGTTGGCACTTGGACCCAGGCAGTCTGGTACTCTTATCTGCTTGGCTATTTCTGCATGCTTTTCCCCTGAATGAAGTCTGGCCCTTAGGTGTCCATGGGTCTGCTGTAAATCTGTGTGAAAAGGTTTCTCCAGAATCCCCTGCAGCTACTTCTATACATATTCATCGACTGGCATGGTCTTTGTCTTTCTAGGTCTCGGGTCTTCAACATAGCCTCAGACAGCTAATAACGAACATATTTTTTAGGTTTATAAATGGAACAACGAGAGAGATAAAACAACTTATCCTGGCATTAAAATGTAGAGTTTTCTATATACAATACAATGTTACTATCACCAAGGCCCATAATCACTACAACTAGTTGATTCTCTGATAAAACTGAATCTCCGAGGGAAGTATCAAACAGCTCCCAGTAGGAAGGCAACAGGTGGCGAGATGGAGGCTGTGATGGCCTGACCCACTGCCACAGGGAAACTGTTCTTCTCCCACACAGGCGCGAACACTCTTTAAATGCACACCTGATCACAGCACCAGTCACAAGCATGTCTCTGGAGATGTCATACATGATGGACACCTGTCCTCTTTCTGATTAGTCTGGGCAGAAATGTGACCACATTACCATCATAGTTAACATCCATGCAGTTTTTACAGTGTCCAGAACTCTTTCACATGCAGCATCTCATTTACTATTTACAACAATCTTACGTGCTCTTAGGACAGGTCCTACTATTACTATTTGATAAAAGATGAGCTTGAGGCCCTCAAAGGGTCTAATTTACCCAAAGTTTTACACAGCCAGTAAGTTGCAGTGTTGGGATTAGAACCCATGACCCTGATGGTCTTTTCAATGCATAACACTGGACTGCAGAGGAATGAAAGCTGGACGGCCCAGAGATCTAGGGCCATCCTAGTTCTCAGGACATAAAAGGAAAAAATAGACACTGAAAGTACTGAAGGAGGTTGTTTTAGAGGTGGAAACGGTTAACAGCAAAAACTGTCATTATATCACACACAATCTGAGAAAGATTTATACCACTTGTTTGACAGAAGTGGTTGAGTCTATCTAAGCAATCAGGTAGCCTACGGGGTAATCACACACACACACACATCTGTTAAACTGTCTGAATTATGGTGATTGCAGTAACAGGGTCGCCATGTTCACGGAGAACCACAGAGAGAAACTCAAACCTGCGCACGTATACAAGCCGACCCGACAAGCCTACCGGGTGTCCGGAGACACCCCTTTCAACACCTCCCTATGCACTGGTCCCGCACAACAGTGAGCAGCCAGGAAAGGCTGACGTGGTTCTGCTGATGTGGGTACAGATGCGATGGGGACCCTGCTCTCCATTCAGGCACGCCTTGTCCTTCTAGCACACAATGCTGAGGCAATTCCTTTCCCAGGCTTTCTTTTGTGTTTTTTTAACACTAATACAGTGGGAAAAAGTTTCTGCTACAGCAAGGCAATGTCCAGGCTTTTGTGAAAGATGTCCTTTTCATCCAGTGGGCATTAATGTATAGATTCCAACGGGGTTGTCTGAAATACTCTGTGGTGGAAGATTTGTCCCCCACTGAAAACAAATCTTGATGAGGTGGTTATTCAGGGACCATGGAGGAAGGAATGGTGTGAAAATGCTGACTGCATTCTTCCTAGATTGGCACTGAATAGGCATTTGGGCTATTCAAAAAAAACAAGAAAAAAATTCTCACTCTATAAAACCACACAACTTCACAAAGATGATGAGTACTTGGGAACACCACCCCACCTAACAACCCCCACAGTGGTAGGGACACAGAACTGATGGCAAATTGAAAAAAGTGATTAAAATAGTTCTCTGTGTGTTTTAAAATACTAGCCTATCTCTTTTTCACTAGAGTAAAAATACTGAGCCAGCCTGTGGGGGCATTCACTGGAAACATGCAAGGAATGCCACCGCCGAGAGTGAGCAAGTGTTCTAACTGACGGTGTCCTTGAGTGAGCGCAACACGGACAGGGCCGGCACAGGAGCGGGCATCGGAGGGAGAACCTGCTTGTGGTGAAACAGGTGACCAAGGGCCCCGCTCTCTGTTTGGTAGGAACCCAGCTGTTCTCAGTCCCTTAAACTGCAGGTATCCAGGATAGGACTTAGCATGAGAATAAAAAGCTTCCTCTGCACAAGGGAAAATGAACAAGAAAGGAAACAGCAGGCAATACAATCTCTTTTAATTAGGTGTGAAATCCAGCCCTTCCTCAGTTCAGATATATAAAATGAGAACAGAGAAAGCGTGAGATGCTATAGCAGGGGTGTCCAACCTTTTGGCGTCTCTGGGCCACGCTGGAAGAAGAGTTGTCTTGAGCTACATATTAAATACACAAACACTAATGAAAACTGATGAGCAAAAAAAAGTTTTAAGTAAATCTATGATTTTGTGTTGGGCGGCATTCATAGCCTTCTTGGGCCACTTGCAGCCCGTGGGCCACAGGTTGGACACCCCTGCAGGGAGATGGGAATTTGGTTTGTGAGACTTGGGAGGAAACACAAGCTCTCAAATTAAAACCAATAGGAATTTTGGTCATGTCAAAAGGCCTAGATCAAATGGCAGGACTGAAAAGCCCATGAGCTTTCAATCCAGGCCACCTGGCTCACATGAGGAAAGTGAGTCGGCACATGAAATAGGTCAGCCAGGCCTCTGCACCTCAGCCTCTTCCATCACACTTTTCCACCTTGTACCTTGGTACCTTTAGTAGGCTGAGGTTGCTCTTTCATGTGTTAGCTGATTGGTGCCCTTACCAAGTTAGTCACACTAGGAAAGAGCCATTCCTCTGGTGAAAAAAACAGGGATGCATGTGGTAACTCAGGTTCTTTACTCCCTAAATCAGCATCTGTTGCCCTGCCAGGGGTGGGACTTCAGTGTCTAC